ATAGATAGATAGATAGATAGATAGATAGATAGATAGATAGATAGATAGAGAGATAGAGAGATAGATAGAGAGATAAATAGCAGTTTGTTATCTAGACCTTATGCCATATTTTATTTTTTTATTGATAACTAATGTTATAACAATAACAAACCCTAGCCGTGTTTTTGAATGTGTGAATTCTGACATTTTGACATATTGTGAATGGTCTTTGCTGGTAATGGCTTTTGGGTTAGAACTGATTACAGCTGTAGCAGCCTCTACCTGTGCCCATGCATCCTATCCATTGGTTACACAAGTCAATCTTTCTATGCTGGTGAATGAGAGTTTGCAAACCCCAGTGACCTGTACTTTCCCTTTTCAGACGTAGTTTCCCATCCGTCAGACGCTAATAACTACAGACGAGGCAGGAAGAAGCGTGTCCCATATACTAAAGTCCAACTTAAAGAACTAGAAAGGGAATATGCTACAAATAAATTCATCACTAAGGACAAAAGGAGGAGAATATCTGCAACCACCAACCTGTCAGAAAGGCAGGTCACTATCTGGTTCCAGAACAGAAGAGTCAAAGAGAAGAAAGTCATCAACAAATTGAAGACCACCAGTTAATAATGGTCGGGTGACTTTGTGAAGTGAGCAGGTTCTAACGTTTGGAACTCATCTATTCTACCCAAAAATAACAAGGTCATCTCCAGGTCCTCTGAAAATGGTTTTTAAAAAGGATTCATGGGTGGGGAGGGACAGGGAGAAATATTGCAATGTAATTATTTTGTGAAGGTCAGGACTCTCATCTAAAAAAGCCTTTAATCAAGAATCGTTCTAAATCGAGAATATCAGTCTAATAATTGCGCGTTGAACCTTGAAACCAGACTGCATGTTGAGTGACTGCTCAGGTAACTTATAGATGTATCTTTTACTGTATGCTTACACTATACATTCTGATATAAGAGGAGTGTAAATTTATGTAATTGAAGAATTGTACAGTTTTTTTTCTTGTGGGGGTATAGGGGGGTGGCAGAGGGCAGTGGTAATACAATAATGGTTTTCAAGTATAGGGATTAGGGAGCTGAAGGCAATATTTTTTAAATGTTGCTTCCTCCTAAGGAATTAATGTGTTCACATACAGCTTATGATTACATTGGAAGTGAAATATTTAAATTGCAAGGAAGACAAGTAGCAAATTAACCGGTTTCACCTGTACAGAATTTGAAAATTGGCAAAAGGACTTTTAATTAAGCAACCCGGTTGTGTATATATGACTTATAAAACAATTACTGAAAAATCAGCGTAAGATATTTAAAAGTTGAGTTTTTTTTCTAAGATTGGTATAAATTATCTTTTTTTTTACTGTTTATTTTCTTTATGGTTTGTATTCGGGCCGCAATAGAAAACGGTAGCCAAGAATTTCAGCACTTTTAACGTAATCATTTATTTGAACATTTGTTTATTCTTTACTCACTCTAAAATATTATCATGTAAATAATAAATTAGCGCACTGTGAACATTATTTGTGCACCATTAATTTTATTTTGCCTGATAATGTACATTGGTATTAGAGTAAAAAAATATAGATAACTGTGAATAAGCTGAATTTTGTATTGTGTTGAGTAGCGTGAGGTACAGCTTCAATTACTGTGCTAGATAACATATATTTAGATCAATAACCTAGTTTAGTTAGTTGCCAAAAAAAAAATATGTCAGGTAAATAAATACAATTTTACACAATATGGCATTGGACTGAATCAGAATTTTGGTATGGTCACACCCGTAATTAAAAGCAACTGCAGAATTGGGAATCTTACAATTACAGCTATTTTAAGACTGCGAGCTGCTTTTTTCTTTTTCTTTTTCAAAAGCTACGTCGTTTTGTTGAAACGACTGGATTGGAAGGCCTTAAACCTTGACCTTGACGAAAAGAGACAATTTGTGACCTTGACTTCTGACAGCTCATGAATAGGAATCTTTGGGATTAGTAGATCAATAGCGCCATCTGGTGTTCAAATATACATCTGCAATGCTGCTGGATACAAGATCTATAATTGCTGGTTCTTGTTGTAACCCACTAATTCATATAATAATTACACGTTTTATTGAAGTTTATTCGGTTGTTGTGGTTTACTTGCATGATATAAAGTATGTGCAATTGACAGAGATTAATTGTTGGTGAAATCTACCTATAAAGGGGTCTTAGACCTATTAGTGTTGCAAAATCTTTCTTTGGAAGGAGAGTCTTCAACATATCATTAATCCTAAAAAAAAACATATTAAAAATTATTATTAGATTTTTCTGGGGGGGTCCACAAATAGTAACTGGAATAGACTCCTATACAAGTCTCATTGATCTATAACCTATTGAGCGCTGTATACGTGTATTTCCAGAGCTCATTTTCATGAGTCACATATTACGTAGAGCATTTTGGGGGCTATTTTTATGATTTTGTTACAGTGGTGCATTTCATTGACCTATATCAACGACTCCAAGAAAGAAAGTAATGTATTTTTTTACCAAAATAATACTTTCACATTTCAGGATTTATTTCACTTATTATATTGTAATCGTAATTCAAAAAAGTTAAATATAAGACACTGTAAGGTGCTGATTTGTGATTTTAAAAAAAGTAAAACTTATTTTTTTTAAGGCATAATCAAATGTCTTTTTTTCTTCTACAAAATAAAACATGCAACTGAGTATTTTTTAATATTGATTTCACTTATTTTGCTATCAAATGTTAGGAAAAGATAGTAAAAAGATCTGCGTATCTGCTTTACTGAAGGGAGTATGTACTATTCCAGTCCTACAACTTGAACTTGAATCGGGTTCTCCTACGACCAAACACGTTTTTATGCGTTCTGGGTTTACAGCCTCTGGTTAAAAGAAAAGTCGCCTGTTTCTTTAACTTGTTTTCTGTTGAATATCTGTGCCAAGTAGAACAATACATTCCTAAGGGAAAAAGGAATATCCTCTTAATCCACAAAAGACAAACCCTCATTGGAGCGCTACTTGTATAAGCAGTGACTGGATTTTGCATTCTTCCCTTGTTTTTGCATTCTTCCCTTTACTGTACTAGACCCCCCTTCCATTCTCCTCTATAGCCCGTATTTCTTATTATTTTTAATAATGATGTGTAACGTGAATGATACAAAGGAAAAAAATATACATTTATATACCTGTACAACACTTTACAAACATGTTTGAGGCTGATTTACTAAAGGGGTTGAGAATCTTTACTCAATATATTGTAGCTTTGTTCACTTTAAATACTGTGCCGATGGAATAAAGAGAAACCTTTTTTTTCATAAGTGAATTTTCATTCAATTTATTGAATAAAGATTCTCAACTCCTTTGGCAAGTGATATATATA